TTGTTCTCTCCCACCTGATGACAGAGGTTACTAAGACATTTCTCTGAGCAGAAGTTTGCAGAGTTTTCAAACACCTGACTGGAGAACGGTCTGCCGGAGCACCCGTTGGGGCTGAAAGTGGAACTTAATTAAAGACTTGGGACAAGAGTCCCCAAAGTGTGGGAAGGTTTGTGTATTTTTCTCCCCTTAGATTTCAAAATTATTGCTGAAGAGTGACTTCATGCCCACAATCTTGTATTGGCTTTTTAAAACACTGTATTTTTATGACATGTCTGTTCCCCTCTCTCTGCTACCTGATTTACTCAGTGAGCTGTAGACACAGAGTTACAATGCCCGTTTTTTTCAGTGTGGGGGCAGTCTTTGTTTCAGACTGATTTTAGATTGTTTTTATATATTGCCCATGTTCCATTTTCGCAACCCTTAAATTTTTTTTTCAGACTCTGTGCATCAGCTGCTAGTATATTATTTAATTTTGAAACTTAAATGGAGTTCATGCACGAGAAACTTTAGACTAATTTACTTCCCTAGAAAACTACTGCTGGCCCATACTAAAGGAATGCCATGCCTAGAACAGCCTTTTCTTGGAAATTTACATGTACCATTAGGATGGAAAAAGGAAATATTCTAGGACTCTAGTAGAAAAGATTAAGCTTCTTAATATTTCTTGGAAATGTACATGTGCCTTTAGGATGGAAAAATAAAACATTCAAGGAGTCTAGTAGAAAAGATTAAGCTTCTTACTGAAGTCATCACAGAACGAGATAAGGCAGATCCAGGTAAGTGATTTCTGTTTTCTTCCAGTCCTATTTTATACAGGTGAAGATTCTTACAATCAGATATTTCTTCATTACAAACAGCCATTACCATTTTTCTCCTTAAAGATCCTAATGTGGTAAGGACAAAAGAAATGGCATGTAAATGTTTCTCACTACATTTGAATAAAGTAATACATGAGATGTATTACATTTTACTTTTAATTATTACTTCTCTTAAGAAGTACCTCACAGTTAGGTTGGGGTCTGTGCCCTCTCACAGAGGAAACTACAGGTCCTCTCTTTCAAGACTTTTCCGTGTCCGCACCTTTGGATGTTAAGGGGATTAATTCCTTGTTATCTTTCTGTGCCTGCATGGTATGTACACTGTTTGGTAACTATAGGGCTCTTGGGTTTCTAGTTCACCCTGCCAGAAGGAAAGCAGGCACCGAGGCAGAGGACTGCAGAGCCCCAGGGAGATTTTGCAGATCAAGGATGGTTTGAGAAGCCCAGACCAGTAAATCCACCCATTCCAAAAAACCGCATCACAGACATCTTAATAACACATCTAATATTGGAATACAAACCATAGGCAATTATAAAGACAATACAGATATGGCATAGTGAGCTGCTGATTTAAAAGAAATATCCATAATCTAGGAGAGTCGCAGAATCATTAGTATACAAAAAAATCTTCACTCATTCTTATGGGTCTGCAACAGGACAGCCTTCCAGGCAAACTAACTTCTTCCCAAGGTTTCAGAAACAAGGTTTCAAAGAGGCACTGATTTTGGGTCACCTGCAGAGGGACAACACAGCAAGGATCAGGGTTCCTGCCTGAAAGGAAAGTTTCTGAGGCCATCTGGGGCTCTTTATCACCAGTTTTTAGCTGAGCTTAAATAACTTACTAGATAAAATTACCACAAATGAGGCTGTCGGATGAGAAAAAAAAGTCCTATCATGCCGATTTTTAAATAATATACAATTCATCCATCTGATATGGTAATCAGGTGTCCCTTACCAGTTTCCCAGGGCATAGACTTATTGTAGTGGACAGTAGAAAGCTAGCTGCCAAAATCAGATCTGACCACTTGAAAGTGCCAAGGCTGGCTGGCCGGATGCTGGCTAGTCACATACAGCCAGAGATCACCTGTGATGGAGTGCATTGGCCTGTGAAGTCAGAGGAAGGGCAGAGCAAGGTCACCATATTTTCCTCCCACTTGAACACCATGGGCGTTATCTCTCTAGTTAATCCAGTAGATCCCGCACCGCCCTGCAGAAACAGAGACGCCAGTGAGATTTTGGCCTTTTATCAAATAGGCAGAGGCAACTTCTCTCTGGCTCAGGGAGTTTCTGTTCCTAATTTCATGGAAGCTATTCTTCAGGTCTTGCACCTGGACCGCTCCTAGTCAGGCCCTTCGCAGCATATTTTGCACTCTATGTCATTCAGCCGGTTACTAGAAATGTTCTGAATTAATATTTACATTTTGAAGGAAAATGTCACTTAAAATAGTGAACTTTTCTTTTTCCCATAAAAAAATATCCACACACATTAATTGAATTACTGATTGACAGTTTTTTATCAAAAGCACTCCAGAGCTGATATTTCTTTTATTTATATTTTATTAATGGTTTGGTAGAAATGAAATGATATGGCATAGAGCTCCACCAGCATGAGAATAACTTCATTTGACTTATTTTCATGACAATATATTTTTTTTTTTTATTTTAAGCAGCTTATGTTGTGTTTATTCTACTATTTCTTTCTTTTTCTTTTCTGAACAACCTACAACTGAACTCATTAGGTGGTACCTTTCATTTAGTCTATTTTAGTTTGTTTGCCCAAGTTACTGTATTTGACATTCAGAAAGAGCTGAAAATCTCTCCTCTGAAATTCAGATGCTATAAAGGAGAATCAGTCTGAGCTCTTTAAACATTGAACAGTAAAAATGAAGAGCTGATAGAAACATTTCTTTTAAAGCCATTCTTTTTAAACAGTACGTTGGCTTTGAAACGTTTCTGTTTTGAGGGGTTTTTTTTAGTTTTGCTTGCTAAATAGTGAGTTGTTTGGAACAGACAATGTTTTCCCATACCCCGACATCCAGTTCCTGTCTTGTCAAGTGCTTTTCCTCCTATTACTACAAGAAGCATTTATAGCGATAAATGAATTTGGTGGTGGTGATGGAAAGTGCAAATTGGTAGAACAACCGAGCCACACTCGGTCATTGTGGAATATTTCACCGAGGTGATTTTGTGAGATTATTTCCCATTGATTTCAGTGAGACTCACACGTAACAAGGTAGCATTAGGAGTGCAGCTCCTATTTGGGTAATATTACCAGCATGGAGCATAGGAACTCCTTATTTGCCCTGCTTCTGGCTAGGGGAAGTACTATGCACTGATGTGCTCACTGCTGTGGCTACATTGCAACCAGGACTCCAGTTAACTCTTGTAAACCTGGCTATGATGTCTCCATAGAGCATAGTAGTTGAAGAGTAGGCGACCGTTTCCACCTGCAAACTGGAATAACCTACTGCAGGTTGGAGGCAGACACCCTAGCACCCTGCCACCACTGACACTACTCTCCACTTGTGGCACAAGTAGAAAGCCCACAGATGTTGCGTGTTTTTGTGACAGCCTGGGGACAGCACCTGTAGAAGGTGCCCCCAACTCCAAAGGCCCAAAATACTCAGGGCAGATTCAGAACTTCTGCAGGCCATGGGTAATTCAGGGGTTGGCAACCTTTTTCAGATGCAAACTGGAATAGCCTAACGCAGGTTGGAAGTAGTGAGTGCTAGGACCTGCAAGTAGTCTCCGCCCATGGCACAACTAGGATGCCCACAGCTGGCATTACTTGCCACAGCATCCTGGGGAGAGCACCTGCAGAAAGTGCCCCTCACCACCAAATGCCACCAAAACCCCTGGGCCTGATTCAATGGTTATGCAGGCCATCGGTTGAAAATCTCTGCTGTGCTCAATTCCACAGTGTAGGTGTAACACAAGGTACACCACTGCGATTCCACATGCAGGTGGGGCCTGCAGCTGAACATAGAAATGCTGGGCAAAGTGTAGAAAATCTTTAGCCTAAGTAAACTCTTTTCCCATGGAAGTGAGGTTATTGTCTCATCAAGCATCATGTCTGGCATTTCTTCCACAGGAAAAGAAAACCTGCCAGGTGCCTCAGGTGCTGTTAGTATTATCCAGTAGGAAGTGTGCACACATTGCCCAAGGCATCTTGTTCTTGTCCAGGACTTCAAACACAGCCACATGAAGAGGAAATGAAGAGTGGGAATGAAACTTCTTCAGCAGACTTCATTTTGCTGGGACTCCTGAGCCGGACCAATGTACACAAGTTCTCCATGGCCACGATCTTATTAGCCTTCATCACTGCCTTGTGTGGGAATGCTCTTCTCATACTTGTAATCCAAGTGGATTCCTCCCTTCACACTCCCATGTACTTTTTCCTCAGACAATTGGCCTTCATGGACATCTGTCAGACACTGATAATTGTCCCCAAAATGTTAGCAGACTTCCTGACCCCAGGCAATCCCATTTCTCCAGCTGGCTGTGGGGCTCAGGTTTTCCTCATGCTGACCATGGGCGTATCAGAGTGCCTCCTCCTGGCAGTCATGTCTTATGACAGGTACATTGCTATCTGCAACCCCTTGCACTACCCCATCCTCATGAGCAGGAACATCTGCTTTCTTTTATCAGCTGGAGTCTGGATGGGAGCATTGGTAAATGCCTTGATTGAGACAGTGTTTACACTGTCTCTCCCCTACTGTGGCTCAAAAAAGATTGACCACTTCTTCTGTGAGGTCCCAGCCCTGCTCAAATTGTCCTGCTCTGACACCTCTCAGCATGAGACTCTGGTATTTGTGAGTGGCATTGTCCTGCTCCTCATCCCTTCTTCCATTATACTGGCCTCTTACGCTTGTATCCTCTCCAGGGTCCTGAGGATGAAGTCAACGAAGGGACAGCAGAAAGCTCTGGCCACTTGCTCGTCCCACCTGACTGTGGTGGTCATGTTTTACGGGGCAGGCATCTTCATGTACATGAGACCCAGCTCCTACCACTCCCCAGAGCAAGACAAGATTGTTTCTCTGTTTTACACCATTGTCAGCCCACCACTCAATCCACTCATCTACAGCCTGAGAAACAGGGATGTCTTACGAGCCCTAAGAAAGCTGATTGGGATATTCAGGGTCTTCCTGCAAAATTGACAAAGCTCTACGTTACCATGAGCTAAGTCTCATTAAACTGAGAAGGCCGCCAGCAGGGTTTTCTGGATCATTTAGAAGGAAGCTAACATGTCTCAGTCACGTAACACCCTGTGACCTACTGAGAGTCACGGGCTTTTGGGCTCTGTTACTTAAACGCTTAGAAAGAGGTTTGAGGAAATGTACCCCACTCTCTTTGTTCATTAGTGTTTTCCTGCTTCAGGAAATTTAACCAAATTATTGCAAACAGTGAAGACTTCATGGGGAATTGAAACTTTCTATTTCCCTGATGCTGACCCTGCACGAGGCCCAAGCCCCACTGCAGGAAATACGACAAATGGAAGGGCAACCAAAATGGCCCCTGGGATGAAAGTTTATGAGGAAGGTATGAAAGAACGAGGGTTATTTAGGATGGATAGGAATAGACTGAGGAGCAGGGTATAATAGTTTCTCAAATACATGAAGAGTGATTATAGAGAGAATGGAGATGGGCTTTTCTTTGTGGCTCTAAGGGACAGGACTAGGAGCAAGGGCCACAAGCCATAGCAGGGGAAATTGAAGTTGGAGATTAGGGGGAACTAGCTGCCGTTGGGAGTGGTCACACAGGGATGAAGCTACCGAGAGAAGCTGTGGATTTTCCATGCTTGGAAACGTCCAAAAGCAGGTAAGACAGACCCTTGGCTGTGGTGGTTTAGTCAGAGATGAACATGGCTGGAGCAGGGACATGGGCCACAGGATGTGGTGAGGTTTCTTTCAAACTATGATCCTAAGTGCTTAGAAGCAGATCTTCCCAACCACTGCAAGGCACTGCACTTTATGTCTGATTCCTGTCTCACTTCACGTTGTTTTTCCACCAGATTCACTCCACTGAGGTCAAAGTGGAACACGTGGCGTGAGCTGGTGTTTTAGTTAGAGTGGCATCTGGGCAGCCACTCTACTAAAAAACCCACAGCATCGCATATAATGACTTCCTGTGTTTTTAAAAATGACCGCAGGATGCTTTATCTAGAGTTTTAGGTAAAGCACCCCAATGGCCATTTTAAACCATGCCAGGGTTTAATACACATGACACTGCAGCAATGCGGGGCAGCCGCGATTAATAGGATCTGCTCCAAGGCGTTGTAGTGAGAACTGCAAAGAGCACCTGTCTAGGCAGGCATAATTTTTACACAAGAGAAAAAAACCTCTGTTTTAGATTAACCTGTTCTCTTTAGCAGCCTTTTTTTTTTAAAAAAAGGCTGTTACCCAAGAATCTCTCTAAGCCTTGTGTAAAATAAATATATTTGATTTATTCAAGACATGACTGAAAAGGGCAGCAGGGAGAAACAGGAAGCTTTCTAGGTTTAGATCCATGCCAAGAATGCCTAGCCTTAAATGAGAACAAAGCCGTGTTTGAACGTCCCTTTCTTTGCGCCTGGAGCAGATGGAGCTGATTGGCTGACAGAACAAATGAATGAAGGACATTAATCAAATAAAGGAATTTTTCATCAAAAATAAATAAGACCTTGACAAATGAATTGGTTAATAGGTATACTATTTCTTTCACCTGTCGTATTTGCCAGTTGTACCATCAGACTGATATTATGGTGCTAGTTCTCAAAGAAGCAATGACCAATTTTGTGAAGTCTCAAAATGATCTGGGACCTGAAAGAAAAGACTTATGAAGAAAGGTTGAAAGAACTGGGGCTATTTCAGCTGGATAAGAGAAGACTGAGGTGGGATTTGATCACAGCCTTCAAAAACTTGAAGGGTCATTATAGGGAGATGGGCTTTTCTCTGTGCCTACTGGGGATTTGACTCTTTTTCCTACTGGTTTCACTCCATTGAGACTGGCCTAAATGTGACCTTCTGAGGTCTTGTGACATCCTTATGAGCCCTACTTTCCTACGATCATAGGATCCTATGATCATAAATGCTTAGACGCAGATCTTCTGAATATTTTTTTTTTAAAAGAGTGAGGGACTGTGCTTTAGCTCCTGTCTCACTTATATTGTTTTTCCACCAGCTTCACTCCACTAAGGCCAATGGTAGAAAACATGTTTTTTAGAAAGAAGAAGAAAAACTCCAATTTAATCTAAGCCTTTCTTTTTAGGAGAAAAGATTATTATTTTCTTTATGAAGAAAGCTTTTACCAAGTATCTGTAAGCTTTATGTAAGACAAATTGATCTGATTTATTTAAGACATCACAGAAAAGGGCAACAGGGAGAAACAAGAAGCTCGCTAGCTTCATATCCAGGGTGAGACGGCACAGGAAAAAATGAAAAAAAAATGGTCTCAACGTTCCTATCTTTGTGCCTGGAAGAAATGGAGCTGGCCAGTAGACAGGACAAATGAATGCAAGACATCTATCAAATGAAGGTTGTTTTTGTTAAAAATAAATAAGATGTTGAAAACTGAATTGGTTAATATGTATAATATTTTTACATTTGAAAGTTTTCCTGTCAGACTGGGATTATGGTGCTAGTTCTCAAAGAAACAATGGAAGAGTTTGGTGAAGGCTCGGCTATCCCTTCATATTCCCAACTTTACCTAAAAAACCAACAATCCCATGTGCTAGGTTCACACAGAGCATTCCTCCATCTGCCCCTGAAAAGAAATCCCTATGAACTGCTTCTGAGTGGTGATGTTAAAGAGGGGAATATGTTATATGTCAACCTGTGTGTCTCCCTGCGCTGTGAAAGTGGGTGAGAAACAAGAGGCCTTGGTGTCTGTGGTCCTCAGGCAGCCACACTGACCAAAGTAGGCCACTGGGGACCATACAGTCCTTGGGCAACCCCTGCGCTTCAGACCTTGGGAGTTAAGTGTTTGAAAATGCTTTCATAGGAGAGGATCCACACAACTTTGCACAGTGCTGGAGCCCCTGAGTCACAGCCCTGTCTCCTGTGCACATGTACAGCATGGTGGCAAGAGGCCTGGAGAGGGTGGCTTGGCCCAACACAAGGGAGTGAACATGGCAAGATTGTGACTAATGCATTTATGAACTACTGGGAGTATGCAGGCCTTACGCATGGACTCTGTTGCTTTGACACATCTGCAGTGGGAAGTAGGGGAGGGATCCAGATGTTTTGGTTTGCATGGCCAGAAAATGATGGCAATGTTCCCATGGAAAACTAGGACTCTTGGCCTGAGGTCACATACCAAACTTTCCTTATGGCTCAGTTCAATGGTAAGGCATATGGCCAGAAGGGAAGAAAGCAGGCATGACCTTTTATTAGCAATCTGGCACTTCTGTGACATTCAGGAATCCTTTCTGGTTCTGCTTGTATCCTCTCTATGGTCATGGGCAGGGACCTACAGAAGTCACGCTGGAAGTGGGCTGCCCAGCAGCTCCTTTAACCTTGGAGGTTCCCCTGTGCAGCCTCCCCCCACCCCACACCTTTAGTGATTTGCTGAGGTGATTAGCTAGCTCCCTACTAGCTACCCCACTGGCAGATCAGGGGAGGGGGCTGGGACCTGTCCCATCCCTGCAGCTCGTTTCAAGCCCCATGCCTCGACTGCCCAATCAGGCCGTGGGGCTGGGATCTGCCCTGATCAGGACAGTTCACAGGGCAGGGGTTGGAGAACTTGTTCCCTGCTCAGCTTCAGGATCACAGAGCTGGGTGGGGAACAGACTGGAGAGCTTGTTCCCCACCCAGCTCCTAGATCGCAGAGGTGGGTGAGAAACAGGCTCTCCAGTCCCCACCCCACAATCACTGGGAACTGTCCTGGTCAGGGGCATGCCCCAGGCATGGGTGATTGAGGTGCGTGGCTTGGAAAGAGCTGCAGGGGTGGGGCAGGACCCATCCCCCTGTCCAGGCCACCAGTGGGGTAGCTGGTAGCGAGACCGTGGCCCTGAACCTCATCTCCCAGCACCAATTCTGTGACATTGGGACCGGTCCCAATATCAGCCCTGCAACCATGGAGCTGGCACTGGGAGAGAAGGATCACCTAACCCCCTCCTCCCTAATTGTGATGGTGAAACAGGGGGTGGGAGATGAGGATCTCTTAGCTTCTGCTCCACAATCATGACCTTGGAGCAGGGGTCTTGGAGCTCCCTGTTGGCTAGGGAGGGGGACATAGTCCCTGCCTGGGCTCCAGTGGAAGAGCCCTCCCCGGCAGCAGCCAGCTCCATGGGGCAGGGAGCAATCTCCCACCCCTTGGGTGTTGACTGACCAGGAGCAGATTTGCTCCCAGTCAGGTGTCTAGACAAGTGCTACTGCACATTTAGGAACTGCAAGTAAATTTGCTACTTGTATTTGCAGGTAGCAAGCTTAGTATTAGGAAGGGTTACTGTGCAGTAACCATGCGCATGTGTAGACGTATATGTTAACTGCACAGGAAAATACACTGCTTCACAGTAAAGCATCTCATGTAGATGCACCACTTTGGAACAAATGTCTAGTATTAGGAACCAAAAACTCCCTCTGACCTGAAGAATAATGCTCTAAATTTGGAAGCTTGTCAAAGCCCATCCCAAACATGCAGTCAGTCCAACAAAATTTATTACGCATAAAAATATTTGCTTCTCACGTATTTCCTGGACCGTCCCACCTAGTCACTCCAGCACTATTAAAGTTCCTCGATTATGACCCAGATTATATTTTATTTTTAAGTGCTCCAAAGAAGAAAGAAGATACCACTAGCACCATTACAAGCTGTCTGTAATATCTGGCTTCTCAGGTGGGATTTCCTGGAGAAAAAATGTTGTAGAGCCCTAGAAGTTAAGAAATGAAAAATAAGATTTCTGGAGAGACTTTGAATGACAGTGAGTGACTGGGCTCATCTGCACATGCAAATAATCCAAGAGCACTTTTCTCTAGAGTGAAGTACGCTAAAATAAACTCTCCCAGGCATACATCTACATGTGCAGCGATGAAGAAAAAGATTTGCTGTCCCTAATAGCAGACTGCTCCTGCTTCCGGTGGCCCTTCACTGGGCTCCTGCAGCAGCCAGGGGTAGCTCAAAGCTCACTTTTGGTACTGGGCCCAGGAGCTGGCAGGGAGCACGGGGCCAGGAGACAGCTATCTTCTGGTGCAGCTGGGACATTGCTCGCTGTCCCTGGGAGCTGCCTTCTGCAGGGGCAGGGGCTGCCACCAGAGGCCGGGCGGGGACATTGTCCCCCTGCCCTGGCAGCAGAGAGCTCCCAGGCCCCGGTCCATGATTGTGTGGCCAGGGGTGGGAGACTCTTATGCATATCTGAGCAGACTATGCTCTTTTGCTCTTCCTCTGTTTCAAACTCTCCAGATGAGAAGGATGTCTTGTGATTGAATGTTTGGAGAACTGACGTTCTTGATGGAGAAACATCATCTTGAGTGAGTCACAACCCAGAGGTCTCATCCCACTGGAAAATCAAGCAGTGAGAGATTTAGCATTTTGTATTAGAATGAAAACATTCAAATATGACCTTTCCCACTTTAAAAAAAAAAAAAATCCTCTGCCTATAATTTATTCTAAGAAAGACTGAAATGTATCATCCTTCCTGAAATGCTTTGTTCTCTCCCACCTCCAGACACAGGTTGCTAAGAAACTTGCCTGAGCATAATTTTGCAAAATTTTCAAATACCTGAATGGAGGAAAGCCTTCCACAGCACGTATTGGAGCTGAAAGGAGTCCTTAATTAGAGACTTCGGAGAAGATCCCCAGAGTGTGGGAAAGTTTGTGCATTTTGGTCCCATTAGATTTCAAAGCTATTGTTAATGAGTAACATAATGGCCACAAGCTTGACTTGGCTTTTGTGAAGCCTGTGTTTTTATGTCATAAGTGCTCCCCTCTCTCCACTACCTGATTTACTCAGCTAGCTGCAGAAGCAGGATTGAAAGAGCTCTGCTGTCTCTCTACTCAGTGTAGAGTGTCTTTCTTTAAGACTAATTTCAGATCCTTTTTATATATTGCCCATGTTGCGTTTTTTCAACTTATAAAAATATGTTTTCAGGCTCAGGACGAGAATTCGTATTATACAATTTTAATGTTGAAACTGAAATGGCGTTCATAGCTGAGGTTTTTTAAGGTAATTTGCTTTCTTAGAAAACTAATGCTGCCCCATACGAAAGGAATGCCATGCAAGAAAAGAGATGTATGTGGATTTCTTGTGTACTACCTTTTGAGCTCGTAACTCTTTATTTCTTATAAATGTACATGTAGCAATAGGCTGGAAAAAGAAAACTTTCTAGGAATATAATAGAAAAGATTAAGTTTCTTACTGAAGTCATCAGAGAAAAAGATAAATGAGACCAAGGTAAGTGATTTCTGTTTCCTTCTAGTCCTATTTTATACAGGTAAAGATTCTTAAAACCAGATTTATCTTTATTACGAACAGCACCATTTCTCTTCCTAAAGATCCCCATGTGATAATGACAGAAGAAGTTGCATGTAAATGTTTCTGAAAATTTATCTCAGATATTACATTTCAATAAAGTCATGTATATTGTACTTTTTATTATTATTGCTTCTACTAATAGTACTAGTAATAAAATATATTTTACTTTAT